TTAGCCTAGGAGGATCTGACACGATTATTTGCCTTTGAGGTTCTGACACTATTTTTAGCCTATGAAGACCTGACACGATTATTTGCCATTGAAGGTCTGACACGATTTTTAGCCTATGAGGGTCTGACATGATTATTAGCCTATGTGGATCTGACACGATTATTTGCCAATGGGGGTCTGACATGAAGATTTGCAGCAGACGAGGAATTTTGGAGGAGGAGGAGGTGCAGCAGACGGGGTTTATGAAGGAGGAGGAGGTGCAGCAGACGAGGTTTTTGGAGGAGGAGGAGGTGCAGCAGACGAGGTTTTGGAGGAGGAGGAGGCAGCAGACGAGGTTTTGGAGGAGGAGGAGGTGCAGCAGAGGAGGTTTTTGGAGGAAGAGGGGGTGCAGCAGACGAGGTTTTGGAGGAGGAGGAGGAGGAGGAGGAGGAGGAAGTGCAGCAGAGGAGGTTTTTGGAGGAATAGGAGGAGGAGGTGCAGCAGAGGAGGTTTTTGGAGGAAGAGGAGGATCAGCAGACGAAGTTTAATAATACAATAGCAGACAAAGAGAAACATTTAAACACCTTAACACAATCACAGGTTGAGTTACAAGTACTAAGAGATTAAGTGACGCTCACCCTTGTATGCGTCACAGCTACACCTTCAGGCTACCACACAGTCTGCTTCGGTACTCTCACCTGGAGGAGTCAAGTTATCGAAATCAGTCAAGGTTACAATGCCCCAAGTCAGTAGTTGATTTTGATTTTGCCGCTTACAGCGGCTACTTTATTGTGCACCCCACACTCATCCTGTGAGCGGTAGCGCAAAAGGATTACAGAGTAGGGTTTACAAAGGGTCATAATAATTAACCCCCGTTGTCAGGATATTATGGCACTGAATGTTACACAGTATTTTATTTACATTATTTGTTTAGTTCTACACATAAAGGGTAACTTATTCACAAATGCGTGAGTACAGGCGTGTGAGGCAGTATGTCTGGCCTCACACTTTGTTACTCACATTTACGTGAGAAGTACTCAAGCACATTGCGTATTTGGTTCTGTACATGAGAACTGATATAGTTACTAAGTGCAAAAAAGTGGATACAATCTTAATATGTCGGCTATTTTGCCATTAGGGATGAAGTGTTGTGCCATTTCACACACAGTGTGCTTGGACCTGTCCCTAAAAGGTTCTATCTTCACACAGTCGAGGACGTAGTGTTCAAGTGTGTGGCCATATGTATGGCCACACACTTTACATTTAGTTTTGTTTACATCTGCTTGAGGAACATACTGCCAAAGGTACTTAAATCCTAACCTTGATCTAGCGGTTACAACATCTTGTAATCTAGTGATCTTGTTACTTGCTCCATATACATGTTTCACTTGATACATCTCATCATGGTAACCTATGGATCGGCTAGTGCCTGTTTGCACTAGTCTACTTGCGTCAAAATCATCAATAAGTTCTTTCCTAATTACAGTTTTAAGGGTTCTTTTTGACAGACCCAAATTGTATTCAACGGTGTCTTTGTTAGACGCGAGTTTGGCGAGGGCATCAACTCTGTCATGTTTTATGAGGCCTATGTGAGAGGGGATCCACAACAGTTTGACCTTGACACCCCGGTCAATAAGGCACGCATATTTGTGTCTGGCTTCAGAGACAAGAGCGTGACAACCTGAGTCGAGGGTGCCAAGGGCAAGTAGTGAGGATAGAGAGTCAGTGATGATGAGACTGTCAGTAACAGTGGTTTCAATGAATTTAATAGCTGTGAGTATGGCAACTAATTCAGTTTGTAGAGTGGATGCCCAGTTGTTAATTCTAACTCCTTTCTCAATTATACTACCGTCAGGTTGAGTCACAACAATAGCACTTCCAGCCCTCCCACAGGCGGTGTTTAGAGATCCATCAGTGTAGATGGTCTGTGTGATATTATCATCAGTCTGTAGAGTGTGTATGTGTTCAAGAGCTCTCAATTTGGCAGTGTGTTGGAGATAAATGCTTTGTATAATTAATTTTTTAGGAGGATGTGTCGGTCTTGTGATATCGAAGGGAACTGTCCGCCAGGGTGGCAGGAAGCGCTGTTGTGTCTCAACTTTGTACAGGTGGTCTAGTCCAAGCATCTTCATATGTGCAGCTGTAGTTTGGATCCATTTAGACTCAGTAGTCCCATGGTTCATACATTCTAGCAATTTTAAGGAAACAATGTTATCAGGATCACCACGCAGAAGCCTCAGGGCTATCATGAGGTTGACTTCAATTATTCTATCTTTAACACTGGGTAGTCAGTAGTTAGTGACCTGTGGTGGGGAGTTGTGAAGAAATCTATTTGTTATGAGTAATGTGTAGTTATGTATGGCTATATGAGCATATGAGAGATGTTAACAGTAATATATCGTGTAAGTCAGTTTACTGGAACAAACAATACAGCAACGTTAGCTCTCCTTCCCTACACTTTGTGCCAGAGACCAACTATTAGTTTAAGTATACCCGGAGGTGTCGATTGAGAACTGCAGGTGTAGCTGAAGCAGTGCAGCCGTAAATAGGGGTAAATAGTTCGGGTAGATTTTCTTGTCATGGTTGTCGCTGCCCATAAAAACGAATCTCATAAAATAAAAAACTAATATAAAAAAGATCGATTTCTTTACCAAGTTCCAGACATTCTCTGCCAAATTTAAAGTCAATCACACGTCACCAAGTCCAACGAACTACTCATGACAAGTCTAATTTACATAAAGTATAAAGAATAATAGATTAGTTTAGTTTAGGTTAGGGTAGGTTGTCTAGATCCTCTACTTTAATGATCTAATGTACTGCACAAATCAGTTCGAGGTTTGGATTTTTTTTTTTAACAGTAAACTCCCAATTATCTCAGCAGTGTATGAGGTATTGTGTTACTCGGGCATCATACAGTAAGAGTCTCTGAGGTACCGTAGGAAGTAGTGATCATCCACAGAGGTACTGCAGAGGACCGAGAACCTCTCAGGGAGCCAATGATGGTGACCATAACAACGCACTTCTCACCGCTGGCTGTAAAGTGTCCAATCATCGTGGATATTTATGTAAAAAATAACAAAAAAAATCAGCCAAATCGCCTTGAAGATTAATTCAGGCAATTTTAAAAGTAGAAACAGTATTAGCACGACGCATTGAATCCCAATCCTTCTGCACACAAGGAGGAAGAGTGACAGCCACTGCATTCGACCCCTCCACTTCTCCAACTAAAACATTAGGTACTACTTATTTTGTTTCCACTCGGCCGCCGCAGCCCCAGGCAATATAAAGCATCAAGACGCCTTCAGACCGTCACCTTCCCCGTAAGCCTCACACACCCGCTGACGGACGGAGAAGTTGAATGGTGATTGACAGTGAAACAAGAAGGTGTTATATCCCGTCCATCTGTTACAAACATCTTACTACAATTAAAACTCTCTCAGTAAATATACCCCAACACCCAGGAGCTCCGGCAGCCATACCTTGAACTCTCTACGCTAATTAAACAAAGGTAAATAACCGATTAATGACTCGACACAACGAACCAGTAATCCGGTACAGCCAATCACTGATTCAGATGAAACCGATACCTGATTCGGAAAAAATAATCAGTGACCCTCAACAATTACATAAACCTTCAATAATTATCTGAGTTAATTACCGTTCTCTAATTGCCTTAATAACAAACAACTAATTCCCCAAACTGTTAAAAAACAAATTACACTCACTGTCCTCAACTGACCACCCTCCACTGTACGAGCCCTCTATTGCACACGTAGTGGTTGGGTGACGCAAGAGGGTGACGGCGTGGCTTGGGGACGCGGGAGGAGTGTGACGGCGTGGCTGGGTGACGCAGGAGAAGTGTGGGCAGGAGTGTGACGGTGTGGCTGGGTGACGCAGGAGGAGGGTGACGGCATGTGGGTGACGCAGGAGGAGGGTGACGGCATGTGGGTGACGCAGGAGGAGGGTGACGGCATGTGGGTGACGCAGGAGGAGGGTGACGGCATGTGGGTGACGCAGGAGGAGGGTGACGGCATGTGGGTGACGCAGGAGGAGGGTGACGGCATGTGGGTGACGCAGGAGGAGGGTGACGGCGAGGCGTGGCTGGGTGACGCTGGGTGGGGGGTGGTGCGTGAACGACACACTGCTCAGTGGTAACCGGACCCGGGGTGTGGATACCTTAAGGTTTATTTACTCCCGTGAGACCAAGTTTATTTACAGCTCTTATTTTACCCGGTTATATATCTCCTCCTTGTCAATTTGAAGGCTGGTTTAGGAGTTAGGAATTATTTATATGATATGGCTGACGATTATTAGATGGCTAGATTATGAGTTTGTTTTATCAGGGCTGGAGGTTGATGGCACCCTTGAAAACCTCGCAGACGTGGGGTCATTTTTTTTATTTTTTTTAGGTCATAGTTTGTTTGTTCAGCATTGTTCTCCCTGACTTAAAGTGTTAATACAGATATGAATAAGACTATTAATACCTGGAAAATACTATGTCATTCATACTTAGAGATGTATAACACGATATTAATGTTATGTTTGTTGATTGAGAATGCAGTCGAAATGTTGCACAAGTTGTTAAGGAAATGTTGGTCAATAATATGATAAATTACCTTATTTTTATCACTATGTTGTATGTAAATTGTGATCCGTGCAGCTGCTGTGATCCGTGCAGCTGCTGTGATCCGTACAGCAGCTGTGATCCGTGCAGCAGAGGGTAGTTGTAAGGAGATAAGTGTTATCACGGCCTCACACGTCATCCGTATAACTAACATTACTGTACAATCTGTGTAATCTCTTGTGGTTCTTTGTTGTTGAAGACGAAGCCAACCCTAATATCATGTTGTTGTTGTTATTTTTGTTATTATTGATGTTATTTTTGTTGTTATTATTATTGTTGATATTATAATTGTTATGTGTACTATTATTATTATTATTATCATTATCAACGCACACAAGTGACACAAAACAACGAATGAACAGTAAGCAGTAAAACACTTTCTCTTTACCCACAGAGAGATGAAGACCACGGACTACCTGACCGGTCCAGCCGACCATCTACACAGTGAGTACCCTGGTGTCACCTCACACACCTGCTACAGATTAGTTATTTTTTTTTTTCTGGTGTATTTTGTTTTGATAGGTAAGTGTGACCTTGATGTGGTTACTGTAGGAAGGTCAACACAGGGTCAAAGGTCAGAGAGGTCTTACATAGGAAAACAGTATCGTGTTTTATTAAATTTGATAAAAGAGGACACACACACACACACACACACACACACATATGTCCGGGAGGCCCCAAACACATTCGTGACTCATTGGCAGACATTCAAACAATTATGTTAGTTAATTTACTTATTTTTCATATGTGTATAAATCTACGCACACGTCTATTTTTAAGTCACTTTTCTCCCTTATCTAAGTGTGTGTGTGTGTGTGTGTGTAGAGGGGGGGGGATCACCTGCGGGTGGCTGGCCGTGTCAACACAATTATTTAGCACAACAAACTTGCTGCTCGATGAAACTCTCTGGTGGTCAACACTTAGTGAACGATTTATGTGGCCCCTCTTACGGGTACTGTCAGCACTTTCTTACTGGTACTGTCAGCAGGGAGAGTCTGGGGAACACTTCCTCATGGGTACTGTCAGCAAGGGAAAGTCTGGGGGACACTTCCTCATGGGTACTGTCAGCATGGGAGAGTCTGGAGGAGACTTTCTTACGGGTACTGTCAGCACGGGGGAGTCTGGGGGACACGTCCTCATGGGTACTGTCAGCATGGGAGAAGGCTGGGGATACTTCCTCACGTGTACTGTCAGGAGGGAGGAGGCTGGGGATACTTCCTCACGTGTACTGTCAGGAGGGAGGAGGCTGGGGATACTTCCTCACGTGTACTGTCAGCAGGGAGGAGGCTGGGGATAGTGTACTGTGGGGATACTTCCTCACGTGTACTGTCAGGAGGGAGGAGGCTGGGGATACTCCCTCACGTGTACTGTCAGCAGGGAGGAGGCTTGGGATACTCCCTCACGTGTACGGTCAGGAGGGAGGAGGCTTGGGATACTCCCTCACGTGTACTGTCAGCAGGGAGGAGGCTTGGGATACTCCCTCACGTGTACTGTCAGCAGGGAGGAGGCTTGGGATACTCCCTCACGTGTACTGTCAGGAGGGAGGAGGCTTGGGATACTCCCTCACGATTATCTTAATTATCTTGATTTAAAGAGCTCGAGTGCCTTTCAGTACTGACTTGACTAGTGGATATTTCTGACATGTGAGGGAGGTTTTTGTCGTTTGCTGGTCACCTTTGAGTCAATACTAATAACAGAGCGTATATCTCACCATCAAGTATGTGCCTCACCATCAAGTGTTTGACTCACCATCAAGTGTTTGCCTCACCATCAAGTGTTTGCCTCACCATCAAGTGTTTGACTCACCATCAAGTGTTTGCCTCACCATCAAGTGTTTGACTCACCATCAAGTGTTTGACTCACCATCAAGTGTTTGCCTCACCATCAAGTGTTTGCCTCACCATCAAGTGTTTGCCTCACCATCAAGTGTTTGCCTCACCATCAAGTGTTTGCCTCACCATCAAGTGTTTGCCTCACCATCAATCACCATCAAGTGTTTGACTCACCATCAAGTGTTTGACTCACCATCAAGTGTTTGCCTCACCATCAAGTGTTTGCCTCACCATCAAGTGTTTGCCTCACCATCAAGTGTTTGCCTCACCATCAAGTGTTTGCCTCACCATCAAGTGTTTGCCTCACCATCAAGTGTTTGCCTCACCATCAAGTGTTTGTCTCACCATCAAGTGTTTGTCTCACCATCAAGTGTTTGTCTCACCATCAAGTGTTTGCCTCACCATCAAGTGTTTGCCTCACCATCAAGTGTTTGCCTCACCATCAAGTGTTTGCCTCACCATCAAGTATTTGCCTCACCATCAAGTGTTTGCCTCACCATCAAGTGTTTGACTCACCATCAAGTGTTTGACTCACCATCAAGTGTTTGACTCACCATCAAGTGTTTGTCTCACCATCAAGTGTTTGCCTCACCATCAAGTGTTTGCCTCACCATCAAGTGTTTGCCTCACCATCAAGTGTTTGCCTCACCATCAAGTGTTTGACTCACCATCAAGTGTTTTCACCATCAAGTGTTTGCTCCACCATCAAGTAAGTGTTTGTCTTCACCATCAAGGTTTGCCTCTTCACCATCGCGTTCTTCACCATCAAATGTTTGCCTCACCATCAAATGTTTGTCTCCACCATACAAATGTTTGCCTCACCATCAAGGTTTGCCTCACCATCAAATGTTTGCCTCGCCATCAAATGTTTGCCTCACTCATCAAATGTTTACCTCACCATCAAATGTTTGGTTCTCACCATCAAGTGTGTTTGCCTCACCATCAATAAAGTTTTTCCAATTTCACCACCATATGCTTCTGGTTTCAATTCATCAAGTGCGTTTGCCCCACCATCATGTTTGACCTTGACCATCATGTTTGACTCACCATCAAGTTTTTACCACCATCAAGGTTTATTCCCCACCATCAAGTGTTTGATCTTACCATCAAGTGTTTGACTCACCATCAAGTGGTTTGACTCAAATTGATCAAGGTTTGCCTCACCATCATAAGTGTTTGTCTTCACTCACCATATGTTTGTCTCACCATCAAGTGTTTGGTTTCACCATCAAGTTTGCTCACCATCATGTTTGACTCACCATCAAGTGTTTGCCTTCACCATCAAGTGTTTGCCTCACCATCGTAAGGTTTGCCTCACCATCAAGTGTTTGCCTCACCATCAAGGCAAGGTTTGACTCACCATCAAGTGTTTGCCTCACCATCATGTTTGCCCTCACCATCAAGTGTTTGTCTCACCATCATCAAGTGCTTGCCTCTTCACCATCAAGTATTTAGTTCTCACCATCAAGTGTTTGCCTCACCATTAAGTGTTTGTTCACCATCAAGTGTTTGTCTCACCATCAAATGTTTGCCTCGCCATCAAATGTTTGCCTCACCATCAAATGTTTGCCTCACCATCAAGTGTTTGCCTCACCATCAAATGTTTGCCTCACCATCAAAATGTTTGCCTCACCATCAAATGTTTGCCTCACCATTAAGTGTTTGTCTCACCATCAAGTGTTTGCCTCACCATCAAGTGTTTGCCTCACCATCAAGTGTTTGCCTCACCATCAAGTGTTTGCCTCACCATCAAGTGTTTGCCTCACCATCAGGTGTTTGCCTCACCATCAAGTGTTTGCCTCACCATCAGGTGTTTGCCTCACCATCAAGTGTTTGTCTTTCCTTGCAGACTATGGCGGTGGTGAGCATGGAGACGGTATCAAGAGAGAAGAGGAGACTTACCATTATCCTGCCCCCACGCCACACCACAACCACCATTACAGGTAACTACCACCACAACCACCATTATAAGTAACTACCACCACAACCACCATTATAGGTAACTACCACCACAACCACTATTATAGGTAACTACCACCACAACCACCATTATAGGTAACTACCACCACAACCACCATTATAGGTAACTACCACCACAACCACCATTATAGGTAACTAAAAAACCGCAACCACCATTTATAGGTAACTGTCACCATAACTACCATTATAGGTAACTAATAACCCAACCACAATTATAGGTCATTGTTAGATATATTATCTCTCTCTCTCTCCCTCTTTAAAGTCCCAGAGTTCAGTTCGGTTCAAAAAAATTTCGGATAATTGAAATTCGGGTAATTGGTGAAATTAATTTGCTGGGATAGTCATGATGTGTTGTATGTGTGCCCCTTTGTATTGTGTGTGACGTAATGTAACACACTGGTAATATAACACACGCACGCACACGCACGCACGCACGCACACACACACACACGCACGCGCACGCACACGCACACGCACACACTAAAGCAGTAGCTATGATAAGTGAGCTAGATTTAGAGAATGGGTGACGCAGCAGCCCTGGCATTCATAAGTTTAATTTCAATTTCAGTTAGTTTTGTTCGTTCGGCCACCACAAGAGCGTTTATAATTAAGTGTGACGAGGCAGGGAGTGTTCTTGGGCGCGTAAAGGAACTTGTGTAACTCAGTTTATTGTTTTAAATTCTGTACATAAATGTTAGGTGAAATATAATCTGTTAACAGCTCTAAAACATTACACCAGAGAAGTTCGTGGTACAAAAGTTCCATTGAACAAAGTTCTTACAACAGAATTTTATTATTTTTACAACTACCTTGAATACCAATGTAGTTGTCCTTATATAGAGAAGCTGGTCTGTTTTGCCTCACCAGCTGTTAATATTGATAAAATACCGTATGTGGCGATAATTCGTTTAGTTAAGTGATAGTGAGGCTTTAACTGCCACTAGACGTTTAAGTCAACTGATGTCAATTTAATCTCCTTCATATTCATGTATACCAAAGAGCAACTGTATACAATATTCAGGAACACGTAAGTCTTGGTTGAGACACTGACCAGCGCTACAAGTCCAACGTCTTGTAGATTAATCAGCAGCAGAGTATGAAATAGTTTGTCCATCACCTAAATGTTCTTTAAATCAACTTGACGGGAACTTCCATTTACTTGTAGTAGTCTGGGACAGTCATCGTCGTTGTAAGAAACTACTATTGGAGTTTTTTAACATAGCACAAGCTTGTTTTACACTTACAAAGGTCAGTCGTTTTGCGTATTATTACAGCACAGGTACCACATGGTTCTCAGCAGATCAGTAGTTCCATGTTCTTGTGACACCAGAGAGGCCAGCCACGTCTACCTCTAATTAACTTGTCTATCTTTAAATGACCTGATGTTCCTCTTAAATTTCATCTTTGAATAACCCTAAGTGAAGACTGACTAACACACAGATGCCTTTTAAACAATAGTGAGCGTAGTGAGGGTCTGACAGTTCCATAAGTCCAACATTATACCTTAAAGCTCCCCAAAACTTAATCTAATGTCATATCTTCTCGAAAGTGCCTGTCTTACCTACTTATTATCAGATGGTGTTTACCTCTTAACTATAACTCGTATTCTCTGGCTGCCGCTCTTGACATATGCAAAAACATAATTTTTTACTGCAGTTATTTCTTAATTATACCTAATAAACGATACATACAGTATAGCCTGATGAGCACAGCAGTTTATACCAGTTTTAGAGCTTGATTCGCCTTTTAGAAATAATAGCTAAACATATCTTTAAATGTATTCTAATGGTCCTCCCACTTCTTCCTCCACTTCTTGCCGCTGTATCAAGACCTGAGGTGTACACGAAGCCGCTGCTTATGCCCGCAATTGAGGCAGAGCACCACCACGCCCCTATCAAAGCCTACGACCACATCAACTCCACCAGCGCCGCCCACACCTTCGACGCACCCAAAATGTACGACAATAAACTCTACGACGCTTCAAAAGCCTACGACAAACTCTACGCGGGGAAGGAGTACGAGAAGGTGGCGTTAGACCAGATGGAGAGTACGACCTTCGATAGCCACGACGTTAAACCCTACGGCAAAATGTACACTTCAAAACCCCACTTGGAGCCGCAGGTGGACGACGGAGCGTACGAGAAGTGCTACGAGAAGACGTACAAGACTCTGGAAACGTTGGACTCAACATCTTACGAGAGACAATACGAATCGTCGAAGGTAATCGAGCCAGTAGACTCGACCACTTACGAGAAGACGGTGCAGCCTCTGGACACGCCAGCCACCATCACTGAGACGCCAGAGAAGGCCTCCACACACTCTTCCAGCGCAGGGAAAAAGGTGGGTCAAACACACACCAATCTGATGTTGCATAGAATAAACGATACACAAGACTGACACTTTAATGCCTTAACGAGCTGACATAATACAAGACTGACATTATAATCCTGTAACCAGCTGACTTTTTTCTCTCCACAGGACGAGAATAACAAAGACAACAGCGAGTCAGACCCAAACAAGAAGCCTCCCTTCTCCTACGTGGCCCTCATTGCCATGGCCATCAAGGAAAGCCAGGACAGGAAGCTACAGGTAGTGTGTGGTGTGAGGTACAGTGTGTGGTGTGAGGTACAGTGTGTGGTGTGAGGTACAGTGTGTGTGTGGTGTGAGGTACAGTATGTGGTGTGAGGTACAGTGTGTGGTGTGAGGTAAAGTGTGTGGTGTGAGATACAGTGTATGGTGTTTTGTGAAGCATAGTATGTGGTGCTCAGTGTGGCTTGGTGTGTGGCCATGAGTGCGTGGTGTTCAGTCTGGTACACTATGTGGAGGTATAGACAGGTAAGACGAATAAAACCCTGCAGATGACTTGAGAAGCAATAAGCACTAGGTGGGGACAGACAGGTACAGTGACCAGGTGAGGAGGGGGGGGGCCATGCCTCCACTAACTAACACCTGGAAACATGTAGAGAATGTTGGCCTGAAGTATAATGCTGTAGATCCACGTTTGAATTAAGAGACCCACTTTTCATAGTAGATCAAAGTTGTTAAATACGTTTCGATTAAATGATGTAGTGAGAGGGAATATAGAGGTGTGAAGAAATGAACTGTGGAGAGAAAGAGAATGGCGAGAGTAAGGTAACAATAAACAAGAGATAACGTAAGGAGCTAAAGTGGAGTATATGAGTGAATTTCAAGTGTGAGATGACAGCTACGAAGAGATTGGAATTCTGCACTAAAGATAAAGTTGACTTCAGTATCTGATGGCGTCATAAAAAAGTTGATTATGCAATGAAGAGCAACTTGACTGTTTACCTGGCTAATGTATAGCTGAGTATACTTTAGTATATGTCTAATGTATAGTGGCCAGTCAGGTTATCATGTTCAAGTGCTTTTGATGTTTCACTTGATCAGGTCGTGACGGTACTAGAGGAGGTAAGTTACACGTCCTTCCTCCCTTACCAGAACTTAGACCATAAACATATGTAACGTTAAGTATTTTATACATAGAAGCACTTGTATTTATAAAGACCTTCACCTGAATAACATTAAAACTGCCAAGGTAAATGGACTCGATGGCTCTTAGATATAGATTATATTTCAAGTCATCATCAAGGAAACTAAATACGATTTACATCATCGAGTATTTCCTCTGAAAACTGATCCAGATTTTCCTGATTGTTTCCTCCTCCAGCTGAGTGAAATCTACCAATGGATCGCCACCAAGTTCCCGTTCTACGCCCAGCAGAACGCCAAGGAGAAGCAAGGATGGAAGAACTCCATCCGTCACAACCTGAGCCTGAACGAGTGTTTCGTCAAGATCCCACGGGAGGGAGGCGGCGGTGGTGGCAAGGGCAACTACTGGACCTTAGGTAGTACCTCTTACACCGACAGTACCTCTTACACCTACAGTACCTCTTACACCGACAGTACCTCTTACACCGACAGTACCTCCTACAGTCTTACACCAACAATATCTCTTACACACTGCTGCTTATATTGTCATCAGCAACAGGGAGTTAGGTACTGTCTACGAGCATATAGTAAAGGTGTACTGCCTGTTAAAAACTAGTAATTAAGTACTGTCTATTACCTACCATTTCAGGGTTAGTAATTAGTGCTTTGATGACCAGTTTGACTGTGACCATCGACATAGAAGCAGCGGAATGACTCTGGCGATACGAGAGATAGGAATCGGAAAAGACACATAAGACTGACAGCTAGATCGACGGAGAAACAGCTAGACCGACGGAGAGGCAGCTAGACCGACAGAGAGGCAGCTAGATCGACAGAGAGACAGCTACACCGACAGAGAGACAGCTAGATCAACAGAGAGACGGCTAGATCGAGAGAGAGACAGCTACACCGACAGAGAGACAGCTACACCGACAGAGAGACAGCTACACCGACAGAGAGACAGCTACACCGACAGAGACAGTAAAACCGACAAAGAGACAGCGACACCAACGTAGATAGATACACTCAGACCGACGTAGATACATTGACCGAGGGGGAGAGATGCATTCTCGCGGCCAAACCCATACCATTCTTCTTCTCCATACCATACCTCCTCCTCCTCCTCCTCCTCCTCATCCCCCTCCTTCCCCTCCTCCTCGTCTCCCTCCTCCTCCTCGTCCCCCTCCTCCTCCTCCTCGTCCCCCTCCTCCTCCTCCTCGTCCCCCTCCTCCTCCCCACCCTCCTCTTCTTCTCCTCCTCCTCCTCGTCCCCTTCTCCTCCTCGTTCTCCTTCTCCTCCTCGTCCCCTTCTTCTCCTCGTCCCCTTCTTCTCCTCGTCCCCTCCTCCCCTCCCCTCCTCCACCTGCTTTATCATCTTCTTGTTAACGTGAGAGTAATGAGTGTCTGTTAACGACTCCACCCCCTCCCACCCCCAACAGATCCCCAGCACGAGGACATGTTCGAGCACGGGAACTACAAACGTCGGCGCAGGATGAAGCGACCCAACATGTACCGCCAAACCTACACCTATCCGGACTACCTCGGTCTTACCTCCAGGACGTTCTTCTCCGCGTCGCCGTGAGTACTCTGACAACACCACTCTTGTCTTTCCTCTCCTGCTCGCTAGGTTAACGTCTTCTTGGGTTGTGGGTTGTTTTCTTGTGTGTTCCGTGTTTTGTTTTTAATCATTGGACTTCAGTGTTGGTTCTTGTAATGTTTGCCAGTACAGTGGTTTTTAGTTACTTAATTTTGCTTCACGTCACTTGTTTATACTGTGCATCTTGGACCCGCGAGTGTGTTTGGATGTTTTTTTTTTTATGTTTTGTTGTTTATTAGTGTATAAAACGCTCGCCTCGTGTCCTAAGGATGGGTAGCTGGGGCCATAAGCACCTCCAGTTCATCTATCTGTAATTTACAAACTTAGGGCAGCAAAGGCGGTCGAGTGATATCCTGTACAGTACTGTCACTAACTGGCCGCCAGGTATATGAACTCTACTATCACATTGTTCTATGGTTTGCTGTATATAACTTCTCTGTTTGTCCGTCCGTAAGTTTTGTTCTGTACTCTGTGACTAACAAGTGAGGTTCTCCACGTTTAGTTGTCCATCCGATCAGTGCTTTTGTTGTCATGTTCTGCTTCCTGGCCATATCAGATTCTTTTTTTTCAGCTGGGTTTTTCTTCTATGTTCTTTGTGTTGTGTTCACCGGGCCCTGGGTACAGTTTCACCAGGTCCCGGGTACAGTGTTCACCAGGCCCTGGATACAGTGTTCCACCAGGTTTCAGGTGTCCATGTTCACCGGGCCCTCAGATACAGTGTTCACCGTCATGTTCTGCTTCCTGGCCATATCAGATTCTTTTTTTTCAGCTGGGTTTTTCTTCTATGTTCTTTGTGTTGTGTTCACCGGGCCCTGGGTACAGTTTCACCAGGTCCCGGGTACAGTGTTCATCAGGCCTTGGATACAGTGTTCACCAGGCCCTGGGTACAGTGGTCACCAGGCCCTGGTACAGTGTTCACCGGGACCTGGGTACAGTGTTCACCGGGACCTGGGTACAGTGTTCACCAGGCCCTGGGTACAGTGTTCATCAGACCTTGGATACAGTGTTCACCAGGCCTTGGATACCGTGTTCACCAGGCCCTGGATAGTGTTCATCGGGCCCTGGGTACAGTGTTCACCAGGGATGACTCAGAGCGGCGGCCACTCACCAGGATCAACACCGCTGCTCTACACAGAAACAAGAGACCTGGTGAGTAGGCGATTCCGCTGACGACCAACAACAAACTACTCCACACTGTTCCGTAGAGTCGACACTCCTTACTTCTTACCCGGGACCCTAACCCTAAGGAAAGGCTATTGTTTACATGAGTGTGGCTGCTTCATGAAATTGGTATGTTCAGGACGTGACGCAGTGGTCGGCCGGAGCTGCTTGGTCAGCACACCTGAGCTTGTTACCTGCGACACACCACACAGTTCTGTCTTCCTCCGTGTCTATTGTTGTACTGATGCTCTTTTCTTGGCCGTAATGCGTGTTAATATAGTCACTTTTATCCTTGTTTCGTGTTAATTGACTGGCTCTCCTGTTTTAAGTGCCTCATCTCCAAAGATTCTTAAGTATTATTTTATTTTCTCCAGTAAAGTTCTAAAAAATTCAGACATTTGAGGACTTGACTTCTGTTCGTGGGATTCTTGAGTGCATGATGTAAACACGAGAACCAAACTGTACAAATTTCAGGAACATAAACCTTGATAATAACAACATACTGTAACTCTCGGGAGGGAAACAAAGTGAGGTAAAGATTTTAATTGTGGTAGATAAAGATTTTAATTGTGGTAGAACTCCTTTAGTTTATCTATATATTGATTCCAGGTGACTCATTTCCCCTGTACTTGAGGCGTCGATGAAGCTGTTAGAAAATGAACCATCCCGCCGGCCACGAAGAAGTACACAACCTCACGTTATGTCACCGATAACACACTGTTTCGCCTCCACCCCTACACTGTCACTTCACTGGTCACTGTCTCATCTCCACCCCTACACTCGTCACTGTCTCACGTCCACCCCTACACTGGTCACTGTCTCACCTCCACCCCTACACTGGTCACTGTCTCACGTCCACCCCTACACTGTCACTCCACGCTAAGTAGGTCTTCTGGCGGACATTATTCCCCATTCACGAAATATTTATCAGCTAAAATTTATAATATTTCCGCAATAAAAACTACCCAGTCGGTAAGAGAGAATTACACACAAAGCAAAAGAATAACTATCTTTACCACCTGTATGACTTACTGCCCTGAGCATCGTATATTGCCTTGTATTATCTGGTTACTTCAATACCTTACTTATCTTATTGTTTCATTGTTTATATTATATTTAATACTCGTGTTAAGCTATCGTCTCACTATTGCGTCACTCAAACACATCCCTCCGTCACTCACATCCCTCTGTCGCTCACACCCCGACCCCTACCCAAAGTGACTCGGTCTAACCTAACCATGAAAATGAGACCCCATGAAGATTGGGATTTCTTCGACTTGCAGCCCATAGAAATAAGATCCATTAAAGCTGAGACCCATTACGTCTGAGACCCATTACATCTGGGACCTCATCCGTATGGTATGGTTAGATGATCTTGAGGTCTTACGATTGGTGCCTCCTGGGACTGGCACTAACATGACCAACCACTTGATGGTAACGAGCATTTGGTCATTCCTAAGAGTGAGAAAGACATTCGACCCACACACTAATCTATTATGATTCTTTTCAACTGTTTTCAAATCAGTGGACGACGGACACGATTATGATGTGGCTTACCTCGACTTTAGCAAAGCCTTCGACAGTCCCCCACGAAAGACTAATACGTAAAGTGGAGGCTCATGGAACTGGAGGAGATAGTCTAAATTGGATTAGGACGTGGTTACAAGACAGGAAACATATAGTAAGCAGTACTAACACTAAATCCGATGGGGTTAACTGTCACTAGTGGAGTACCCCAAGGCTCAATACCTGGACCATTACTATTTATTATATTCATAAATGACTTAAATAAAGGCGTAGACAGCAACATAAGAAAATTTGCTGACGACACTAAAATAGGGCGTGTAATTAAATATGACGAGGACTCAGTAAAACTACAAGAAGATTTAAAAAGAAAAAAAATCGTAATGTCTGAAAATTAGTAGATGAAATTTAATGTGGACAAATGTAAAGTACTTAGTCTAGAAGATATAAACAGAGAAACCAGGTATCAGATGAACAACGTTGTTATCGAAAAATCCGACTGTGAGAAAGATTTAGGAGGAATAATAAGTAGGAATCTTAAGCCAAGACAGCAATGTGTATTTGCTCGAAACAAGGCTAACAAGGAACTTAGGTTCATACAAAGGAGTGTTAGTTACACGACTAGCGAGGTTATCCTAAAACTATATCTTGTGCTTGTGAAACCTCGCTTGGACTGCGCAGTTCATGCAATTTTGGTCACCGAAGTACAGAATGGATATAGAATTCCTAGAAAGCATTCAGAGGAGGAGGATGACAAGAGTAAACCCGGGCATTGGGAACCTTGATTACAGAGACAGATTAAAGCATCTTAATTTGCACTCCCTCGAGAGACGTAGAGTTAGGGGCGATATGATCGAGGTGTATAAATGGTGATATAATAAAGGTACTCAAACTATCCAACCAGGAGCGAACTCGTAGCGATGGTTTTAAATTAGACAAATTTAGATTTAGGCGCGAGATAGGTAAACACTGGTTTGGAAATAGAGTAGTGGATGAGTGGAACAAGTTACCAAGCATCATCATTAACTCGAACACGCTGGATAGCTTCAAACATAGGCTGGATGGATATATGAGTGATAGGGGTTGGGTGTAAATGGGACTGCTCAGTATGGGCCAATAGGCCCGCTGCAGTTTCCTCCATTCTTATGTTCTTATGACACAAGTTAAGATGGAGGGACGTGGTTGAGGGGGAGAGAGGCGTAAGTCACATCGAGGTGAGAGTGGACGCCGCTCAAGACACAGAAACGTAGTCCAGACGGGTTCAAGAAGAAGAACCTTAATCTCTGAGATGGTCAGAAGATGATGATGACAGCCCCATGCACCAACCTAATACTAACGAAAATATCCCCATAGTTTTAATCCATTGTTTCTAAAACTTGTTGGTCACGTCAGCACTAGTATTAGAGGCGATGGAGAAGTGTTGTGTTAAGCAGCAGAATGTAGCAACACCCGCTAGCTACAGTGTTTGATAAACTCCCACTTAACGTTGACCTTGCCACCCTCCCTCCCTCCCTCCCTCTACTGGTTCTCTGTTGCGAAAACCTGATACGATCAGGAAAACATTTGGTAGGTGAGAGGAAAGATACGGTTTATACCAACTCTCTCTCTCTCTCTCTCTCTCTCTCTCTCTCTCTCTCTCTCTCTCTTGCAATATTCTCTTTAACAATGCGCAACAGTGTTATGGGTAATACTCTGTAATACTGTACTACGTACTTTAAGTAATCGGCCATGATATTCTAGTGCTGTATTTTAAGTCCTAGTCTCTGAGGTATTATTACGACTACATGAAGAATAAGCACCCTCAGCTTATCTCAACTAATTAATAGAAACACCCTATCACTAATTGAAGGTTGGGTTAGGTTAGGTTAGGTTAGGTTATAATCAGAAATATCTTACTATAACAACAGAAGCAATATCGGACAAGCTGCCACATCACCTGAGGCAAATTACTAGTCTCTCTGAAGACCTCTCACTTAACCTCACATGATATGATAAACAACAATAACAACCTCTAGTCTGCTCCGTGAGACAGAAAAATTAATGTACCAACTACACAAATCAGTGAGCAGTGGCAGGCCAAGAGTGCTCACCAGTCACCAAGGTTCGTCTCTGTGATCAATTTGTGATATAATGGACAGTTTGGTGAGCCGTCGGCATTAACTCTCTCAACCTTGTATACACCTGAGGGCCACATACAGGTGAAGCAACGGTGCTGTCTAAGAGATCTTCAGCGTTCTTCAGTATATTAACGCCGTGACAGTACGCTCAGCCCCGGGGAAGTGTTTCAAAACAGTGG